GAACAGTTAAGGAATTCATGAAATATTACCCCAAATTAAAAGAAAAAAAGAATTTAAAAAAGTTACTTATCTCATCAAATTACCATTTTATTTCCTGTAAGAAATATTTTGTGAAGAAAGTCATAGTGCTTACAACTGTCATGTATTTATCCTTTTCCATAGCTAACTAATTCTACCACCACTAGTAAAATAACACAGGTTTTAATTTCTTCTGTATGAAGCTAGAATCAGATGGTAGGTAGTAACACATATCTCTGTATATTCTTTCATACTTGTTCTCAAAACCCTGTGAAATTTATTAACTATGTCAGCAACAAAATAAGCAATATGGAAATAACTCCAAATCACAAGAGAGGCTTAGCCTTATTTAATCCTGGACAAAACAAAATGATCTGTTGCTTTATGCTTTCTACAGAAATTCTTCATGTTTTGGCAGAATCAAAGGGAATGTATGAAGAAAACCCATCATGTCAAAATTAAAAGAATTCCAAACCAGAACTTAATTATTCCATAAATAATAACTAATATAATTTAACTGAGTTTAACTTTAGAATTCTTAAGAATGAAGAATACACCTTCTACAAAAGATTTCAAATTTGGGCTCCTCAATTCAGAGTACAATTGTTTTAAGTACCCTAATGCCCAACTGTCATGATTTTTAGCCCACTGCAGTTTTTATGACCTCACTTCTTTGTAAGGTAGCGATAGTTTTGTGACAGCTACACATACAATTAACCTTGCATCATCCAAACCGCTCTTTCTAATGGCTATTGATACAGATAACCTTGAAGTGTTTTATTATGCAGTGATTCATGATGCTGTAAGACTACTATTATGAAAATTATATATTACACATCTACCATCTGCATTGTTACTCTCTTCCCCCTATGAAATTTCCAGTCACAAAGTTTACTGGTCTTTTCATTCCTTTTCAGTTCATAAACAGAATTCAGAGTTGGTCTATTTAGCAAAAGTGTCACCTATTATTTAGTGAAGAACATATATCTACATGTTTTATATGGAAAAGTTTGTGTTTGACATTTAAGCATTGCATTTATTCAATTTACAAAAGGGGTAGATATCTAGCATCTATACTGTGTGAATAGTTTATAATGGATGAAATAAAATTCTGCAGTAGCAACCTCTTGTGAAAGTACTTTGCAAACTATTCCACTTGTGCATGCCATTAAATAAAAGTGATGCTTTGATTAACGTATTGTTTTGGAGAATAAATATGTTAGGAATATGTATTGTTAACAGATGCACAGTGGTAGATGGTTTCATTTTGTATAACATTATATTTCATATTTCTGGTTTCCCACAAAATAAAAAAAACAATGACATACATCACTCACTATCTCTACAACTGTATATAGCAACACCTAAATTTCCTCTTTCACCTATAACATATATCAATATGTCATGATGTGAATAACTTACAAGTTCATGAAGCAGATATTTCCTTGTTCACTGACTACATAATAATCATTTGTATCAAACAGATCAAAGCACTGATGATTTAGCTAAAGTTGAAACATAAAACACAATAATGAGGAAAAAGTTATTTCATTGTACCAAATCTGTTGTAAGTGGAATAGCCTACACTATTAGAAACAAATCAATAAAATTACTGATTAGAGGCAGCTGCCTCGTAAAAAGTTGAGGGATTTTCATTCTTTGAGGCTTTAATAATTTCAGTGACTTCCAGCATATTAAATGTTATCCATTGTCACCAGCTAACTGACTGAATATTATATTAGCGTAAAACTAATTGTTAGTTTGTTTTAGTAATAATGTTTGAAACAGATTAACAAATATAAACAAAATAAATTATGTCAGATTTTCATTTTCTGGTTCCATATTAAAAAAAGGTTATCTTATGTTTACTTGTATTTCATACTTTATGATACTTTGATATCAGTTTGGTTGCTTATCTATATAAAAATTACTATCATTAAAAGGACTTAGTAATGCACAATGGTTTATAACACCTAAGCTGGCAAAACATTGGGTCTTTGACCTCAAATGTGACTAAAATCATGTTTAACTGCATTTCAAACATAGTTTTGGATACCATAGATCCAGCCCAACTCGTGAGGTTTGGTACTGGACAGTGATTTGAGGCAGACAAAGGAGAAGTCCAAAATGCTGTAATTTTTAACTCATCTTACTTCACATTAGTAAAGGACAAATAATAAAGAGAACTATGAAGAAAAAAACATGTATGCAGTTGGGATAGGAGAGAGCTGTGACCTGTTATTGGGTACTTTTATTTCTTGTGACTCATAATGATATTGGTTTCTTATTTTCCATATGTTGTGATTATTACATTGATTTGTGATTTATTTCCCATTCTCCATGACTGTAGACTATAACCTGACATGATTGTGAACATATATTTTGTCTGTTTTTGATCTACAGACTATCTCTTCTTGAAATTCAATCATTGTTCTTAGCAACTTGGTGACACTAAATCCACATAAAAATTAAACATGCAGAAAATACCTCAATCTATACAAGTTACTCCTCTTGGAAAAGCCAGCATTAAGTAGAAGAGTCTACCATATCTGACCATGAAAAGCATGACACTGATCCCTGTACCAAAGACGATGATGAAACATCGTAAAAACTGTAATATTTTACCTAAACAGTTTATTATTCTCTCTAAATAGCAATGAGTCCAAAAGTGAAAAGACAGAAAGAGGATTGCACTGGACAAGACAGAAATTGAACTGCTAAACATGATTATTCTGATCATCACTGTTTATGCTGGACTAAAGGAAAAGGCCCACAAAAGGGGCCTGGGATAAGAAATTGAGTTAAAATTGGCCTGACTAAAGCAAACTAATGGGGGGGGGGGGGGTACTAAAATCACAAAGAATAAGTACATTAAAGTGAAGAAGAGACTACCTAGTACCTGTACATAGTTTTATTTTAAAAGCTTTAGAAAACACATTACTAGCTTTATGTTATGTTCTGTTCAAAACGTATAATATATTACTTAGCCATTTTGTTTTATTTTCAACTGTGAAAAGGAAAACTATGGTATGCTTTCATAATGTACTTAACAAGGAGGCCATTTGTTTGGAAAGTGAATGTAATTATATGCAAAATGTTATATGATCTTTATGTCTCTCCTTCCTGCATACATAAGCAAAGTGTTAGGGTCTGATAAAGTCTACTTTCTCTACACTATAGAATGTGTTTATCTTCACTTTCAAAAAGCTCTTTGATAATATACCACTCATTAAAATTATTGTAATTTTGTTTAAGACCTGAGTTAACAAAATTATACCCAGATTTTAAAAATGTGAACTATGAAACAGGGTTAAACAGATATGCTTGTTTTCCCTTAAATATAGAAGAAAATTCCTGAGAGTTGAACATGCAAAATGTTAGTCTTTTTTAGTTTGTGAACTGATAAGATTAATATAATTGATTTGAGTATATGAGGTAGTACACAGTGTATAAAATCTTAAGACAGTTAGAGCCAAACTTACTGTTCTGCTAAAACTATGAGCTTGTGGAATAGTTTGTTTGATGGTATGGCATGTATTGATAGTTTAAAAGCATGGTAATTTTTGTTAGATATAAAACTTTTATATTTGATAGGTTACTGCTTTTGTTTCATTATTTAGAGGCTCATGATGGCTTGGGTGTGCTGAATGAGCTCTTGTAATCAGGTTAATTTAACTTACAAATAAAAAGCATATGCATAAAATAATAAATTGAATACTAAATAAAGTTAGTTCTTTTTTGACTGATGTTCCAACTTTACCTTGTCTCAATCTTCAAACAATGTTTTTTACCAAATCAGATATATATTTGTTGTACACTCTAAATGTTAGAAACCATAAACATTAAAAAGGCTAAACCATTCAAACTTAACTTTATATAAAAACATATTTTTGTTACCCTACTTACATATGTTAACTGTTCAGTATGGGTTTATGTTTGCACATGTGGAATAGTACTAAAGATGAAAGAATTAGAATAACAAAGTTAAAGTGAAATACTCTTTAATGAAAAATACCATGTATACATATCTTTGTGTGGTCTGATAACATCAGAATTGTAATTTTTCTTCTCTGTTGGAAAACTAAAAAACAAGAGTAAATATAAAAGATCTCTCAACAGAACAATCTTAATTTAACAATCACATTAGCAAATAAAAGCAATACCAAAACATTATATATACGCAAAATATCTTCATAAGTTTCAAATACACGAAGTAATATCTAAAATCTTTTCTTTTAGATCACAAGTCTATGTAACTTAGTCATTTTAGATAGTGCATGAATCATCTCTCAAAATAATAAGTATAGTTAATATCAGAATAAGCAGCATATAAAAGGCAAATATTAAACTGCATTAAGTTTATAAATTGAAGGAAATACCCATTGTAACAAATAAAACAAATTTGGGCTTTCAGTCAATGTTTTTTAAAATATCAAAAATACACTTAAAACTCAAGTTCATGTGTAGTTTGTTGATTTGAATGAAGTTGCCTGAAGTGACAACTTTTCTTGTTCTGCTGCAGACCAAAATACCTTTATATATTAGTCCATGGATGGTAATAGAAAACAAATTACATTCACTCATGTACTGTTGTTTTATTTAATCCTTCCACTTTCATTGGCCATAACTAAAGGTATATGGATGATCCATACATTCCCAAACATAAAAGCCAACTAAAAAGATGAAATTTCAATCCCTGTAGTCATGCACGTAATTGCACACATACACTATTCTCTCCTCCCTCTCCCATAAGAATGAGTCTAAGTTGTTAACACCCAAATTTTCATGAAAAAAAGATTTGGTTTATATGACATTTTTTATGTTCATTATTACAATATTAGGCTTAAGTTGTTCATTTCCAACATGCTGCAATTCAATAATTAATATTTAGAATGTTTTTTTCTGTCATTAACTATCTTTAAGTGTGAAGACTGCCAGTTCTTCTAGACTAAGAACTGGTATTCATGTCCATTTTTGCTGTACAATCTCTTAAAAGTTGGAAGTACTACTTTTCACCAGGCAAAGCAAATTTTCAACTGGAGTTAATTTCAACCAGAACTTTGGTATGGGCATTCCATAACTTATATGTCAAACTCTATCCTAGCTCCACAAATACCTCTAATTCAGCAAGGCAATTTACACTGAATCATCTAACTGCCAAATTCAAAGCCAGGAACAAGTAAACACCACTACTGCCCACTGGGTATTGCTTGATGAGTCAATGTTCTGATACTGCATCCTCACAAAACCATTAATTCTGATAAGATCTCCCACTTGAGGCAGAAAAACATACCTAAATCACATTATAGACCACTCAATGTGTTAACTGTTTTTTAGTACACATTCTTACCTAAACTTCTCATAGCCACATCTCTGCAAAAAGCTCAAGTCTTTGTATTATTTAGTCCATAGCTTACTGTCTCATTTGTTCATCCAACTTCTGTTTCTGTGAACCTTTGAGAGGTTTAATTGCTTAAACAGTGCTCACACATGAATTATTACAGTAAAGTTTATGGCTGCAACTTTTCTAGGCCAATTACTTTCTTGCAACTATCTTGAAATACTTCTGTTTCTGATTCAAAGTCCATGAATACCATGTATCTCTACACTTATTTCTAAGAATATTTCTAATCAATTTGATGTTGTAATTTTTTTCTTTTATGGATCATTTTCTCATTATGAAAATACATATAAATGTAACAAGCCAATTTAATGTACATTTAATAATGCCTGGTCAGAATGAGGTGTACAATGTACAATACCACTTGTAAAGTGAATAATAAGTTTTGTATAAACAAAACAATATGTAGATATAACATAGACACAAAAAAAACAACTAATACTATTGTTTAGCTAACAATTGTAACAAAATTACTCCTTATTTTAGTTGTTGAACTTAGACATAACCAATAATATGTTTATATATATGTGTGTGTGTGTGTGTGTGTGTGTGTGTGTGTGTTTATAAAATACATATGTATATAGATATTAAAACAAGCATAAAAGAAAGTACTGGTTAAATAAATTACTATGATAAAATGAAGTAAAAGAAAATAACAATAGCAAATGTACTGTATCTATAGTAACACTACCTGAAATTTTCAGTCATTTTTTGCAAATTTGTTCTTTTTCTTTTTACATCTTAACTTTAACAAACTATAGGTGCTTTCTCCCTATTTAAAATAGTTTTCTATATTCATATAATCTAAACTTTTTAATTGAATTTGCAATATTTTAACCTTTTTAAATGAATATATTGTACACATAAGACACTTCAACAACCAATAGGTTTATAAATAACATAAACACTGTCATTCTGATTTCTTTCATCAAACAATACATTTGTTACCATTGCAAGATTTAAAAATGAAAGCAAAATTTAAAAAAGAAGACTGAACATATTTATTTTCTGTTGTTTAAAACTGATGTTGTTAATTAAGTATACAATTTGCTTTGGTTAATAAGTACAGTAATATTATGTCTTATACACACACACAAATATATATATA